TATTTAAAGTTAGTAAATATAAAGGGTAATAGGAGCACTGCGAGTTGTCTGCGGATCTGACAGGTATCATTGTGCAGGCTGGGCGATCAACCTATGTATCTGGAGAGATTCTTTCATCGGTTCCTGATCCTGGGGCTATGGCTGCAGCCACGTGGTACAGAGCTGCCGCTTTAGTGGTGAAGGAGAAATACAATAGACAGGGTGATTGACATAGCTTATCATGATCCTCTTTGTGCGGATTCCGCCAAGTTTTGTTCGTGATTTTGTACTGCTGTAACTATTTGGGCTCTCCGCTTATGCGTTTGGCGCATGAAACTGAGAGAGCGACTGCCATTTACTTTATACACCCCGCATTTTATATTGAATGTAAATTTGAAATATTGATGATTGCAATGGACAATAATATCCATCTTCATCTCAATGCGAGATCATGAATTGTAGTTTTTGTTTTTGCTCATGCCAAAATGTGAAAAATATAAAACAAATGCATTTATTATGCGGTCCATATTATGTGTATAAAAAGGAAAAGCAATGCTGTCTATATTATGCTCCCACCTTTTTACTGGCCGGGTTGGGTGAGAGAACACGACATCATTTTAGACACACTAGATTTCTATTTCCAACGCTACTCAAAACGTTATGTTAAGTACTCTGAAAATATAACTGGAGTTGGAAAGCCAGTGAAGTTGGGGAAAGAGGATAACTTTGAGCCCATGTAATTATATGCATGCTAATGGGTTGAATTCGTACAACTCTCAGACCCTATGAAAAGTCATGCCCTACAAAGAACAATGGGTGGGGTGGCATAATAGTGTCGTCCGCTATGTTAGCATCTTTCCAAACGCGCGTGTTGTCAACTTACCGTGTTTTCAATGTCTGATTACATATTGGGCCGATCTCAGTTTATTATTTTTTTAAGAGAGGATACATTTCTATCCATCTCCCATCAGGATTAAAATTTAAACAATTCAGATGTCATGTTTTATAAAATGATTTTATTGAATATTTTTACTATTGTTTTAAATCCTGATGTCTAAAATTCAGTCATTTAATTTTATTTATCTTATTAATAATTTTATTACATATGAAATCTGGACCATTTAAATTTCAATCTTATGATTAAAATGAGAAATGGATAGAAGTGGAGAGAATCCAATCCCTTATTTTTCTGCCCTTGTAGAGCAACTCAAAAGCTAAGCTTATAAACATCTTTATTTTATTTTTTTGGGTGAAATATAAACATCTTCATTTTTATTTCTTTTGTCACGTGGCCTATGAACCAATTGCATATCGAATTGCTTCATCGAAAAGCAAAGACGATTGAATTTTCGGGCTGAAGATTGAAAATCAACCCAATATGCTTATAACATAAAATGGGGAGCCAAACTCTTCGATCATTGGCGGGAATTCAGACAGGTTGTATTGTTTTTTGTACTGTTGCCTTTGAGAAGCTAGCTCAGTATGACAAGTTATGCTGTTGATCATTTTCTATAATTTTATTCAACAAAGCATGTCAAGTAGATATTTTTTTTCTTGTAAAATAAACACACTCAATCAAGTCTCATAAGAATTCCACCAATTATTGCATACCAAGTGAAAGGTTAAAAAGCACTCACTGAGCCTACACTATTCTTTGAGGAAGCCTCTTGTATAGGGGGGAAAAAAAAGAGGGAAGAAAGGGGGCATTGAGTAAAAGGAGGAAGAAGGAAGGGAGATATAGGAAATGTGGGTAGGTTGCAAGTTGATGAGAGGCATGTGCTGTCTTATCTGTTGTCCCTAATTGGAAGGGCAGAACCGTGTACTGGCAATTCAAAGCAGAAAGTGTGGTGGGTTACACCAAAAACCTGCTCCTGTCTCTCTGTTCCAAACAAATGTATGTGTATGTATATAACTCTCTAATAAGACTCTCTCTCTCTCTCTCTCTCTCTCTCTCATTCACATATAGGTACACAATACTACTCATTGTTGCTTTTGGCAGACAAATAGTGGAAGCAGGATCATCTCAAGATCCACATGCAATATGATCTCAGAGTGGGAGCCATCTGGGTGTATGTGCAATTCTACCTCTCTTGGCTTTCTTGTGGATGAAGGGGACACCTTAACATGAAATTTCTTGCCTTTTTGGAAAATTGCGTACAGTGCAAGGTTATATTGCTCCCTCTCTTACCACTCTCCTTTCATTTGTGGTCCTCATCCCACCTCTCTTTCTCATCATCCCCTATTATTCCTTGGCCTGCATTTCATCAGTTCCTGGCTTCTCTAATTCAAGTTTTGAGGACAACATTTGTGGGAGATCTCTACTTCCCAATGAATCAACAGGCCATTATTGGCTTTGCTCTTAAAGGTGGGGAGGCGGAAATGGAGGCTTGTGTTATCTTTATTACTTGCAGGATTTGATTAGCTTCACTTGATACTTCTGAGTGACCTTGGGAAATTGGCTGTGATTAAATAGGATATCGAACTTTTTTTTTTTTGAGCATTTCAAATGTATTTTACATTAAGTAATAAGTCTACTAATTCCTAATTCGAAAATCCTCTTCCAGATTTAGGCGTTCTTACACCCTTCATGCACATCTTGCATATCTTTAATATATGAAGCACAAAATTTTTTTCCCCCAAAATTTTAAGCACTTATCTTTATACATCATTGTAAGTTTTTTTTTTTTCCAGATTGATGAAAACTATATGTTCAACAGTAATTATCAACATCAACTTGAAATATAAAGTTTACATCAAATTAATCGTTGCATATTTAAATGACACACACACACACACACACAAAACTCATTTATCATGCTTCTTATAATGCGTGAAACCTCCTAATACTACCTCCGGTCCTTAATATAAGACCCCGTTTGACTTTTGTTTGGTCCTAATTATAAGACCCCAATCTTTTTTCTCTCATATTATGCATTTTTTTTCCAAGATAGTCCTTCTAATAATAATAGTTCTAACCAATACACTTAATTAGCAAGGATATTTTAGGAATGACAACATTTATTTATTACAAATAACTAACTTAACTTACTTCCTTAATCCCCTCAAATAAGTCAACTGGGTCTTATAATTAGGACCGGAGGTAGTATTTTATAACATTAAACGATTGTCACCACTCATTCTTTATATTAAACGATTGACACATATTATGAAAATTAATGTCCCTTAATTATTATATATGCTACCTCCTCTAGTCCTTAATATAAGAGCTATTTAACTACAAGTAGATTAAGAAAATTAGTTTAGTTAGTTATTTGTAATGAGTTAATTTTCACAAAGTACTCTTTTTAATCATGACCTTGAATAGAAACTTTTATATATATATATATATATAATCAATATAGATACTTTATAGAATGAATTATAAATTTAGAGGGACAAAGTGGATTAAGATTTTATAAATAGGAACAAATTCAATCCCGAATTAGTTCTTGTATTACAAACTGAAAGTAGTAGTGTTTTGCATGCCAAATGATATTGATTTTCTATATAACATAAACCGTAGCTTTATTATCAATACAAAATATATAATCCATACTGAATTGTACTATTTGTAAGTCTGCGCGGTTTAATAATAAGAACGAAGTTTTGTAGGCTCACAAAATTGCGGTTTCATTTTTAATATAACGAGAAAAATTATTTAATATTTTTATTTCTTAGAAAGAACACATAATATATCTGTAAAAAGTTAACGTTTTAAAATAACAAATAATTGCACTCTTTTTAATATTAATGCAATCAATTAATGCACACACAGAGTGCGAATATCACGTAAGAATAACTTGGGATTCTTATAATAAGGGGAGAAAATTACAACACCCTTTGTATCCATTCGTATGGGGTCAGATTTTTCGTCTTTATCCTTCATGTCAGAAAGAAGAAGCAACCATCATTTGCTGTGCTGTTTATTAATTTAGGTAATATAACTTTTCCCCTTTTATTTTAATTACCATAAATAGCTCAGCTTATTAATTATACCTAACTTGCCCTCATCTATTGGTCTCAACCTAGATAGACAGACAATGATCTTTAAGATTTAACTAGCTTTGAGTCTTTAATTTTCCCCCGGATAAGGCCAAAAGAACTTAGTTAATAACTGTAGTGCTAATAAATTATTAAACATAATTAATCTGGCATTAATTCAACAGTTAAAAATTTAGTATGAATTAATGCACCAACACATATAATAACACTATTTACTAATCATGAGAAATAATATATATAATTTATTTTTTTATGGTAAAAAAACATGTATTGTTAGTTATTGAGCAAGACGCATGATGGAAATCAATTTACATGATTGATAACACTATTTTTGCAATTTGCGGGTATATTGGGAATTTTAATTCCTTCGATTAATTTCCTTAGCCAACCAAATCAAACCTTCACATACATGATCAGTAGAAATAGCTGCATTTTCACAGTATATCAACCATTACCAAAAAATCAAATAAATAAAAGTAAACATAAAGCCCTTTATTAATATTCCCTCCCTAAATTTGGTTTCAATGCCTCAGTTAAGCTATGTAGATCTGCAATATTTATCAAAGAAAAGGAGAAGATCACCTCAATGTCACTCCCATAGCTTATTAATGAATTATTCTTGCAACTTTCACATCATGTTCGAATTTAGATGTTCTATCGTATTATGTAGATGTACTTAGAAGGAAAAAGACCCGAGGACAAATGAGAGTAAATGAATTTAAGAGAAAAAAAATATTACTCGTCAATGTAACTCTACAATACATAATAGAATTCTAGTGTTATACATCGCAAACTGATTCTCCAAAAAAAAAAAGAAACGGAGTCAAAAGAATTGACAAGAACATACGCATATATAAATGATTAAAATTATAATTCAAATTATTATATATATTGAGGGAAATTTGATATTAGGTTATATTGGTTTTCGTCTTAATGTTCACTTACATTAATTAGTATGAACAGTGTTATTAATCTTCCTATAATATGTCTAAAAATGAATCAGCAAACATCACCCAAAAAATAATAGAGAGCTTTATAGATTTCCGTATGCTGACGCAATGACGATAAATTACAAGCAAGCATGCAGATTAAGGAAGCGAAAAAAGGCCATAAATATAAAGATTCAGAACTAATCGTCTTTCTGCTTAATTAGTCTGATGAGTACAATACTCTCTCTGAGATATATATATATATATATATATATATATTACTGGGTAAGAGAGGAGGCATTGCCGGTAGAATTAGCAGAAGAAGATGAAGAAGAGTTCTTATGGTTATGCATCCAAACCTTGAAAACTTGCCGGCTCACTCCCACTCCTCTGCAGAACCTCTCGATCTCATCGTCTAGATCCTTCCTCTGCAACTTCCACCCCAGCTTCTCTGCAAATCCCATCATCTTCTCCTTCTGCTCCGCCGTGAACTTCGTCCTGAACCTCTTCTTGTTCCCAGTTCCCGACGTCGTTCTCTCCCCCGCCTCCATCATCCCGCTGCTCGGCGGCGTCGCCTCCCCGCCGCTGTACTCCATCAGCTCCCCCGTCAGCTCCGGCCGGCTGAACCCCCTCGGAGGTGGTGGGAACGTCACCTTGCGGTGGAAGTTCCGGTGGCAGCCGCAGGCGGCGCATTGCAGACACCCTCCCGGAGATGTGTCGTCGAGGGTGAACTCGCCGCAGCCGTCGGTGGCGTAGCTGCCGAGGCTGGCTGCATGGTTTCGAAGACACTCTCTGTAGATAGAATTAGATGAGTGACTGTGATCTCCTTCTCCTTCCATGGTGGATCTCCTTCTTAACCTTATTTCTTTCTTCCGTTGGAGGGTTTTGATGAATATAAGGAAAGAAGACCAGGGATGAAATTACCAAAAAGGACAGGGTTGAACGAGATAATTACAGTGTTCCCTCTTCCACGGACATGCTAGCATTGTAGACAACTAGCCACGACATGTTGTACGTACAGATTCATCAACTAATTAAACCAAACAAAACAAATTAAAAGCATCAAAGTCATCGTTCATAATTTTTTTTTTTTTAAAAAAGAAAGAGCAATAACTTTAAGTGGGGAATAATTAAAATGGAGATGAAAATGGGAGGAGGGTTGGGCAGGTATGTAGAAATGGAGAGTGAGAGAGGGCATGAAAGAGAAAACAGTGGGGAAGGTCAGGGAAGAACCCGAAGAGGTAAAGAAGAGGAAAGGGGAGGGGCAAAGTGGTCCAAAAGAGAGAGTGGGGGAGGCCCGTGAGCAGAGGGAGAGGTATGGAGGGTGGCAGAGATTCAATAATTCAAGTTTGGGGAATTTCATAATTGGGGAAGAGACAGTCCTTTTTTGTACTTTTCCCCTCTCTGCAAAAACCCCCCTCTCTATGTTCCTTCCATCCAATTAAAATTGTGCACATCCACTTGAGTGTGTGTGTGTGACTGTGTATTCTTCTGCGTCAAAATTACAACAACATGCATTTTTCTTCTCTCTCGTACTGTACTGTTACTGCATGTTAGAAATTTTCTCACATTGCATTGGTAGAATGACTCTCCAGTCAAGAAATAATTGTTAAAAAGTTCTAATGGCAAAAGAAACTCATTGTCATTTTCTGTGTTAGAATTGATATTACAAGTTACTCAGCTGTTACGAGGTTTTTATGTAAACATATTTTTTGCAATTCTCTCAATTTCATTCCCTATTCCATATTCATGTGTTTGCAAAGAAAATAAGTACCCAAAAAAAAAGATAAACTATCTGAGGCCCACATTAAATTGAATTCAAGATAAATGCCCACCTAACACTCTAATATTTTTAGTGGTACATTTTTACTTATGATCTTTTAAATTTGATGCAATCTTACCATTTTTAATTTATTTAAAACTACTTTTTTCTTTTATTCATCTTCACAGTTAAAATTAACAATTTTTGTTCCTTTTATCAAATTATTCGACTTACATGCAAAGTAACCAAATTATAATTACATTAAAAAATTAAAAAAAGTGAGATTGCACTAAATTTAAAAGATTATGGGTAAAATGGCACAACTAAAAAGATTAGGGTGTTGGATATACTTGAGAAATAAAATTAGGATGTTGATTGTATCTTTACCTTTCAATTTATACCCATTACCTCTAGTTGCATCTCTCTCTATAGATATATGTATATATAATTTAAACATTTATTTTTGTGTATGTAAGGAATCCAAATTGGTGATTTGCTGGTCAATCATTGATTCAAATAATCCTTTTTTAAGGGTTCCATTGGAAATTGAAGTGATTAATCATGGTTTGAGATATATAGTACGTACTGATATACACATGCACAGATCATGTGATTCTTTATAAACTGAATGATGTGATTTCAAAAAAAAAATTGTATTGATGTAAGGTAGATTTATTTCCTATTTTAAACACATTCAATTAACTGTTCTTCATTTGTATCAACCAAATTAAACTATAAAAGATCAAAAATTATCTTTGGGGTTATTTATTTTCGTACAGACAAATTAAAAGAAGTTGATATATTATTATATGATCATCAGATCCAAAAGAAATAAGTTAACATATTGAGTATGATATATAATATACATGGCATTCATATATAAATATAGGGGTTTTAATCTTCCCTTTCATGCATACTTTTATATCTTAGATGACATAGATTTGAATGATAGATGACTATGCCTTAGCACAATTATATTTATATATATACCAAGTGCTTGCCAGTTCTATAGAACTAAGGAATACATATTTGCATAAACTAAAGTAGAGAGAAATAATAATAATAATTGATGATGGGGACAAGATCAAGATATGAAGATTAAGGAGATCAAGCACCTGCAGGTTGACCAAGCAGCCTATTCTCAAGCCTTGCATGGCCTTCATTCTGCCCACAAACAAAACTGAGCTGTAAAGGTATGGCGTCTGCATAAACTAATTGAGAATTGCCTACCACTCAATAATAATAGTAGTAGTAGTAGTAAGACAACTAGATCCATACCAATTAACTCTTAGTATTTGTATCTAAAATGAGTTATATTTGCATTTGCATGCATAAAACTCTAGATGAATCGCAGGGTTTTATAACTTTTCACTACACTTTTCATACTCCCTCTCGTCTTCAATATAAAGAGGGGTTTGTTTTGGTTCTAGATATAATTCCTCAATTCATTTTATCTCTTAAATTTACAATTTTTTCCTAAATTCTTCCCATTGATTACATGTGTTAAGGAGGTTTTTCATCAAGGAAGTATTTTTCAATGCAAATAATTAAAATGGTGGTAAAAGGAAACCAATAAACATTTTTTTTATAAATAACTAAATTAACTACTAATTTTCTTAATCTATACAAATTAATTAGTTATCTCTAATTCTTACATGTAGGGTTGGAGGTCGTATTTTATTAACAGGCGGAAGATGATTTTATGATGTCATTTGTCATATTCTTAGACATACCTACTAATTTTAGAAAACCGCATTAGGTATATTTGACTGATGTGAGAGCCTACTTAGATAAGACGAGCTAAAACTACATATCGTTTTCTAGAAAAATATCCAAACATATCTATACATTTCAAAATCAATTATAAACTAAAAACGAAACACCTCTTATTTTAGGCCAAACCTCCTCCCTAAATCAATTATCATTTTTATTAACATTTGTACAAGATAACAACAAGGCATCGATGTAATATTTTTCACCCTTTTCTACTGTGATAGTAAGGTATATGGAGTGAAGCTAGGGATGAGATTTAAAACAAAAGAGAATAATAATAAGAATATAAAATAATGATGATAATAATAGGTGAGTGGGGGAGAGAAAATGAAATATGAAGGGGAAAAGGATGAATTCAATTGATGTGTCGGAAGAACAATAATGTTCTCTTCTTCTCTCAGCATTTTGGTTTGGTTTGTTTGCTTCTTCTCAGTGTTGAGTCACTATAGAATGTGACCCCTCCCCCCACACAATAAAGCTTCGCTTTTCTTGCTTAAGGCTGCCATGTGTAATGTGCCTCTGTTTCTTCAATATTCCCACTTTAACTATTATTTATATGTAAACATTTCTTTCCTTACATGCATTTACACACACACACACACACACACACACACACACACATATATATTCCTTAACACCCAACACACTTCAGATCCTTTCTTCATGAAATTTAAATCAATTTAGTTGATTTTATCAGCAAAACCTAATCAAAATTAAATATATCCCCATGAGGTTTAATTATATATATGTTGCTGGCTTCCCAAGAAAACTTGTGAAAAAGCCTGCCAAAATTAGTTACAATTTGTGGTACATGCCTAATTCTGATACAACTGGTCCCAAACTAGTCTACTCTTTTTATGATTAATTCTTTACTAGCAGGCCAAACTTTTGTTTTCCTTTTAATGATTTGCATGGGTTAATGAAATATTACTTGTAGATGATAATATTCCTTTCGCTCTTAAATGCCAGTCGCTTTTGACTACCAACTCATTGCAACTAAGAAAATTTAGTTACTTCATCCAAAATTTATGCGGGATATATACTACATTAAATTAAGACTAAAAATTTGTTATAGACCATAACCTATATAAACTATTACTCCAAACTCTGTACAGTGAAAAAAATCATATCTATGTAGTTTGGAAAAAATAATGAATTAGGACCTCCGATCGATATTAATTAATTGCAGTACGGAGAGATTCATGCACAAAACCCTAATTAAGATTATTATCTGCATAGTTAGCATTTTCCCCCTAAGAATCTCAAGCTTGTTTTAGCATTATATCTATGATGAACTTTTCTAGATTTGTGATAAGAAGCTAAAAAGTGGGAGAAGTCCAGCTAATAAATCGTCCTCGTCACAAAGGGAAGATTATGGGTTTTAGTAATTATAATACATGGGAGCAACCTAAATGAATCTGTCAGACAAGAATATTTATTTGTCTACCATTAACCTGCAACTCCTATAATGTGGTCAAACATTGTTCAAGTTCATGAACCAGCACAAGGTTCTTGTTCTTCACTGTATGATTTAAGACGATTAGAATATTACCCAAGTGTCTCGTATTCCTTAAACATCAAGATTATGTATTAAACACATAATTATTCTTTTCTTAATTAATTATATGGCTTTTTAATGAAGTTAGAAGCTGCTCATTGTTAGGAATGGTTAAGACCAGCTTTGCTGTAACTGACGCTTCAGAAATTTATGTGTTTTCTCGCTGTGCCTCCAATTATTGATTCTTATTCCCTCCTAAAACAAAAATTAAAATACCATCTGGGGTCATATATATGTAGGCTTCCTCATCTTCATCCAAGTTTACTTGGTGTCCTTGCTTTCCATATAAAAGAAATTGTTTAGCCAATGCACTTGTTAATGACATGACTATCTTTGTGGGTTCAATCCCAATTATTGCTTTAAGCATTTCCCTTACCCTTTGTGATCCGGGAAAAAAAAAAACCAAAATCCTTTACCAATTCATTGTTCTTCATTTTTTTAATTAAAAATTTTGGTTAAAAATACCTGTTTGGAAATCTTTATAGTTAAAGGGATCACATGCTACTAATCTTCAACAAGTGCAACTCTTTCTCAGACATATGCAATCTATTTTCAATTGTGCACAAAAGACTTTAAAATAAAAGTCACTTATATAGCTGAAGATGTGTTGCACACAACTAAAAAAGAATTGTACTCACTAAAGATGAATTATACCCGCTCATTCAAATCCTTTTTTATCAATAAAATTTCCTAACATATGCTTTTAACCATTAATTTTCCTTTTTAAATTTGTACAACAATTATTCTCATTTTTTTTAAAAATTAGATTGGCCTATGCAATGAGACTAAAATTGCATTATTCATGGCTCTTTGTGAAAGCTATATTAGGCAGGAGGAGTCCATGGTTCAATAGCAGTGGATGCATTTATGATTAAGGAATTTTGGAGGTTTCTCTTTGGTCGTCTAAGACCATGTAAAATCAACTGGCGTCTAAAACCAATTCAATTATTCACCAACAACAAACCAATTCAATTGCTAATCAGTTTAATAAAAACCCACTAATTAAACCCAATTGTTGATTATGTTTGCCTAATTCTTAAGAAAGATGATTATTCATAATGTATTCTTGACCAGATTATTGTTTGGATTATTAGCTGTTAATTGATTGATGAACCAACTAGTACAGTCTAATTTTCAAAACAACAGATATGCCTAAAAGAATATTTAAACTTCCATATCTTTTAAGTTTGTTTTGATAGGATATAATATATATATATATATGTATAAATAGTAAAATATTGTAGGTAAAAGTACACATTTGATCTTCTAACTTTATATAAAAGGTTTCAATTTGACCTCTTAATTTTATTTTTTTAAAAATTCAGTTTTCTTTTTGTTTTTTTTTATAATAAAAAATTCAGTTTTCTAATCATAACATTATTAGTCTCAAACAATGATTTTTTTTACAATAATTATTATTTTGAAAAATAAACCTAACATGTTAGATTTTGAAAATTTTTTATCAATATTTAACATCATAATTTTTTTATATATTTTTTATCAACATCTGATTAAAGGACAAAAAAGATATACTTTATAAAATCAAAGAACTAAAATAAAATGTCAAATGAATCAAGTGTACTTTTCCCAATAATATATAATAAGTACTACCCCCGGTTCTTAATATAAAACATAGTTTAATTTTTAATTTGATTCTAAATATAAAACTCCGATTTACTTTATCTCTTATATTTATTTATTTTTTTCAAAATAATTCTTATAGTAATTATACATGTTAAATATTTTATCAAATGACATTTGATCAGTAAGGGTATTTTAGAAAAAAAACAATACTTTTTATTACAAATAACTAGTTTGACTAATTTTTTTAATATACCCAAATTAATTAACTAACTCTTATATTAAAGATCGGAGGTAGTACTTTGTTAAAAAAACGATTCCATGTCAATGGTACGCATTTCTTTGTGACAATCTCAATTGGATTTAAACAGATCATTGAACCATCAATTGCGCTCGACCTCATTTCAACAATTAGTCTACTTTTTAAATTAATTAGATCCTTGAACCACGGATTGTTATTTACTTCCAACTAGCTGGGGTTTAATATGTACTACTCTGTCTCTTATTATAAGATCTTTTTAACTAAATTACGTAATTTAAGAAAACAGTAAAAATTAGTTAAAAACAATTAATATGTAGCAAATGCAGTTTTTTCCAAATATACCCCCATATATAAATAGATAAATGTGAGAGAATAATAGTGAGATAAATGAAAAAAGAAAATGTATTAAATACATTAAATTAGAGGTAAAATAAGTAATACTGCATTAAATGCTTATACAAACTCAAAAATGATTTTATAAAAAGGGACATACTCATTCAAAAAATTAGATCTTATAATAAGGGAGGGAGGGAGGGAGGGAGTATGGAGATAGCAAGTGATTAATCTGAAGTTGTGGCTGTGAGAACTAGCTTGGATGATCTTGGGACCTTTAACTTGGACATATATAGTTTGTTGAATAAAATAGTTTGGTCAAAAAGATAATCTTGATTTAACAAGGCAGTACGTACTTGCAAGTGTTTTTCATGTATCTTCCATTAATTAATTGGTCATAATTATTATAATTAAAGAAAGCAAAAGTTCAATTGCATATGCACATGTGCTTCAACCTCCTTTACTGATTCGTTACATGCATCTAACCCTGAATTTGACTTCATTATTTAATTAAATATATAAATAAAGTTCATAGACCTAATTCAAATAGAGAACATGTACGTACATATACATATACATACATATATATATATATATATATAAACGTAACCCACGTTTTGTTATAAATTAAGCAAACTTGCGAGGCAACTAATTAGAGA